GTCATGCGAAATTTAGCTTAAATAGCCTTCTTCAATTAGAAGTTATTTAAAAAATTCGAATTTTTAAAAAAATTTTTAACGCCCTATATTTCGAAAAAAATTTATACTTGATTTTTTTCTTATTTTTTTATGAGGAATATTTGCTTAAAGTTTGTCGACTTAAATCCTGAAACACCCTGTTATAACTATGATCTATCAATCAAGGCAATATTAGGTGGAGTAGATCTACTACGATTGGAGTAACTTTGGCAACTCTACTGGAAAGGTTGAAGAAACAAACGTGACGTATAACTCAAAGCCTTCGGTGTTTAGAAACAAATAAAGATCAGCAGTTGAATTAGTATTTGAATTTATTAATTTGTTTCTTTATTTAGGTATTTTGCCACACATCACTATATCGCATACTTAAAAAAGTTATTTGTTTCTGCACTAAATCTACACGTTTATTAAGCTACGTGTTGTCAGCAATAAAATAAACAAACCCAAGTGCAGATCTAGCGAGAGCGGAATAAGATAGTGATAGAAAGACTTTTACGCCGAGAAACTTGATATAAACGCTCAATATTCCCAAACGAACATATGAAATTCTCCGGCTCCCAGCAATTGGACGTTCGCTACTAAACGCGTATCCGCGAGAGGTGCTTCCTAGGTTACTGGGTAACGGATTCCACTGGAGTGCATCCAACATAAATCTTTCCTCCTATTCAATATGAAATTTCGTACCCCCAAAGCACAATAAGCTCGACAATACGTGTTTCTTTTATCAGAATATTGCATATGTGCTTGGATTGCATTTACAATACTTATTCGTCGTATTTTATTACGCTGTTTGTCTGAGATGTCTCTCCCCTTCTATTATTCTATACCTAGTCTACGTGTCTACAGTTTGACCAAATCCATTTTGTCCACGAGATTAAGGAGAAAGTCCGCAGTAGAAGTGACATGTTTAGGAGATCTAAATAGTAGGGCAGGTAGCAGTCTGTGCAAAAATTCTGCTTAGATCTGGTAAATATAGTTATTTAACGACGGTTCCAAGGAATGGTTCCTATAAACGGTTCCAAGGCTTTATCTCTCTTGAAAATTGATGATGAAATTGATTGGTTTGGGGGGTTAAGGGTGCAGATGGCGTTACAATACGTTCATGGGCTTTACCTTCCTTGCAAATGGGTGACATCGCTATCCGTATTGCGTTTTTCTATACATGAATCTAAAATACTAAAAAAAAGGAGTAAAATTAGCCAAATACAGACAAACAAACCGTCTGCGGGGGTTTTTATGATCGGAACTTTATTCCAGTAGCCAAAAATGACTTGTATCCACAGTAATTTTGAACTGAGACCACTTTCTAATGCAATTAATGCGTGGCCCTTTAAAATTTTATGAATGTAAATCAGAGTATTATTTCTATCAATTATGTCCCTTTACACTTAGAGTATGTCTTTGATATACTTTATAAGCCTTATAGTGTGCAAATCTAAATATGTAGCTGAGATTAGGTTAAATTAACTACTCGTAGATAAGAACAAGTATTAATGTGTTAATATATTATTTGTATCACCAAGAAATACATTGCAAGGTTATGGATATAATAAGACAGACAAGTAAGTAGGTATAGGCAGATACAAACCTATAATGACGCCACTATTTAATAATAACTCCAAAATTTTGACTATTACAATTTTCCAGTAGTATTTTTTAACAATGCGCCACTGACTTGATGGCTTTTAAAACGATATTTGAAACGTCGCGTCGCGACGAGAGGCATGTTTGCGAGGATTAAATTAAACCTAAAAGTCCTGAAACGGCAACGAGTTTAATGCGCTGCCGCTGGTGAATAATAGTGCGGAATATTGCAAGTCCTCCGTAATTTAGGCGTAGGGGGAGCTATTTTTCCGCTCAAAGCTAATAAGCGGGAATACGACCAGGCTCTTTCCACACCTGCAAAGTTCTCATTCTAAATTTATCGATCGGCGATGAAGAATTTATATTAAACTATTTACAAGACATCGTACAATAGTCCTGTTTGGAGGAAATTAATATATTCCGCTCAAAATATTACGTAATAAACACTTATTTTCACTTATTTTCATATTGAAAATTTGCCGTAAACAATTTCTATGCCTGGCAGGAACACTTTTGAAGCGTACATTCCTAATTCATAAATTTATTGGACAAGGTGAACCTTAAATATACACAATTATTTTAATTACGGGTATAATTCTGGATGTGAATGGGTCTGGGGAATATTAATTATAGAATATTAGAAGTGATGGTTGGCCATCATTACAGGAAAACCGACCAAATACCAGACCTTAACATTTGGCTTTCGAATTTCGCTTAACTTTTGAATCTGAGCTACGTTTGCAGACTATGTATGAGGTGGAAACCAATTGCAGTTTCCGAGATTCGAGGGCTGATCATCTCAATGAAGTAGAAAATGCGAAGCGGAAATCGAACTTTTCAGACGAAGCTGTTCCCGATGCTCTCAACCGCTCCTAACTGTCAAAGCCACAGTAGGCGATACCGACGGGAGGAATATTCTGGTGGCATAGGGCTCCCGACGATGCTCGGAAAAACAAACTGAGGCAGAGCAACGTAAATATACACCACCATACCGAACAATTAATAGTCCAGATACCAGCACGAGCATATTTCAAAGATCTTTGAAATTCCGAGAGATATCCAAATCTAACTCGAAGATTGTTTCAGGGCCTTTGCAGAGCCATCAAAGGAGGTGTTCGAACGTCGACATTGGCTTACAGTTCATTAGCGAGGAATCATCTAATCAAACTTTTTTTTTCTGATTTTCTATGGACATTTTAAAAATATTTCACATCCTAGCTATTGTTAACTTATCTTAAAACTGTGCGGTAAATTTCAAAAAAATGAAACATACATTTAAGGTTCACCCTGTTGTAGTATAACAACTCTAGGTTCGATAAAAAACAATATATCGTAGTGGTGGCCAAAAACATGTGATCGTCATAAGGACTACCTACGTTGTGTGTATCCAGTTTTAATTGACCGGAAGGCGCTGGCTACTAACTTTGTGGAGGGGATGTATGGTTTAATTATTTAAAACAAAAGCAGAGTAAATACACCTAACCTTTATTTACATACAATTCAAATTAAACATATGACAAATAGAAAGAACAACAAAAACATTAACAACCATTTAACATAAAATGAGAGTGCCAGGCTCACCTAGAGCTCCTGTGGGGAAAGAGCATGGCAGAGAAACCCACGATCGTTGCTCTTACCACCCAAATATAAATACAAAACAACCGCTAACCAAAGGCATAAATTAAGAACCTTTGCTAATGATAAATAAGACCTGTCTCATTTAATGTGTCACTAAATGTCATCTGTTACCTCATATTAGTCATACACACTTCCAAGTAAAACTGAAGAGGTTTGGTGTTAGTTAGCCGGCAGAGCCGGAAGGTACTGGAGTCCCATACGGGAGGCAATCCAGCTATAGTTGAGATTTCGGAAGATCCTTCATAACACTGGAGTCCCATACGGGAGGCAATCGAGCTTAATCCAGATTCGTTCCGCACGGGCGAAAATGTTAGTAAATTCAACAAGGCTCGTATAGACGTATGACATAAAGTGAGCACAAGAAATCAAAGAACAACGTAATCATGATAAAACAAGTTAAATGTGAAACAAAGAAGTCGTTATTGCAATATCTGGGCAGTCACGACAATATACATATTTTAACATGTAATAAATAATGAGCAATCTTTAATAATAATTGTAACAATTTTATCTTAGAAAAATATACGCCCCTGAGCGTAAGACAATGAAGGCTAAACATATACAGAATTATTATCATGAAACATCTATATTTTACGTATAACGTAATCGTGGCAAAAACAAGTTAGATGTGAAACAAAGAAGTCGTTATTGTAATGTCTGGCAATCAGGACAATACATATATTTTTAACATGAAATAAATAATGGGCAAACTTTAAGTATAATTATAACAATTTTACCTTGGAAAAATATATGCCCTTGAGCATAAAGCAATGGAAGCTAAACTTACAAAGAATTATTATCATGAAACATCTATAATCATCACAATCATAAGATTATATAGAACAATTAACAACAAAGTACTTAAAGAATATTACCTGCTAACTAATAACACTTTAAACAATTAACTTTTCACTACTTTGACACACTGCCCGCCGATCGTCTTGCTACCTATCTGCACACTATTCTCACTTCAACTGCCTATCTTCAACTCCCTAGGCTTCCTTCCAGAATTTCCTACCTAAGCGCTGGTTTTTGCACTTTCTTTTACCAACTGCCAATATTACTTTTTCATTGTTATACAACACACATGTAACAGGTGACGTCGAAGTTGATAAGTTTTGCACACTGTATACTCTTAATTTACGGTACATCCATCAATGTAGAAGCTAGAATAAATATTCTAGTCACGCGAAAAGTTCTACAATAGATAACTCGTATAACTTATAACGACTACGTCCTGATTTGTGGAACGGCGACGAAGTTTTTCAATTAGGTCACAGGCAATTTTGAAATTAATCTCCTATTAATAACAGAAGCGGCCTGCGCCGGCAGTCAGTCCATAAAACTGTAAAAATAAAACCGCTGTGATGGGAAGTGGCCATTTAATTTTACAGCGGCTATCGGGAGTTCAAACTCCAAGTGTCGTTTTAGTGGATTCGGCTCGACCGAGGCTCGTGGATATTAAAACTCATATCCGCACGTCCACGCGGGGGATGTTTAGAAAGGCGTGTCATTTTCGTTGAAATCTAAAAATTAATTTGTGAGCTTTGAGTAAGAAAAATTATTATTAATAAAATAAACGGTATCTAAAAAATTCTTCATTAATAATTATAATATTTACTAATGTTTATGCATCTTAAAGTCAGGCAGTGTCGGTGGCATAAAACTAGCGCCAACTACATCCAATTTTATACAGAAAAAAAAAGCCATGTATCTAATGTGCCACCTTTTCATTGCAGTGTGTGAGGCACGGGGGACCGACCGAACAAAGTGGGAAATATCGATGTTCTTGTCGAAGGGGATTTTTCTACCCCAATGCCAACTTATCTTGGGACGGCATCCCCGGCGAGGATATCGAGAGTGGACGTATTGATTCAATGGGGTAAGTCACATTTTTCATATAAGTGCGTGGCAAATTTCCAACCAGCGTTCTCGTGTGGAAGGTACGTGAGGAAGTGGTGGCAAACATTCCTTGTGAGGCAGGGAAATGCAATACTTTGTTTTCTTTTCTGCGAGTATATTTATATTGCGCTTGAAAAAACTTGACGTGTTAATCACAAAATAAATATTGACGTGGTCGATGAAATGAATTGGGTGCAGATTGAGAGTTTTTTTAACTGAAAACAAATAAAATTCGAGACAGCAATCAGATCAAATTGCATGACCATGGAAACATTTTGTTGTAACAGGGAGTCTAATGACCTTAAACACTTGATGTTATTAGTCGGTGGTGGCAAAATGATGATTTAAGTTGAATGTTTCCAAGGTGTTGTCGTTACGTTCACTAGAAAGAAAAATTCTATCCTATTGGATTTTATAAACTAGATATCATAATACTCCGTAGAACTGATTAAGTATATGAAAGACCTTGGATTTACATTTGATCCGACCTTATCATTTGCAAAACATATTGACATATATAATTCCAAATACTCTTATTCATTCTAAATTAGAATCTTGCATCAGTCGCCTGGAGCCCAGTTTATCTGATCAAATTGCAACTTTGGAAAAATTTTTCCATAAAGACGGATCGGAATGCGGTTTTTTGCATTCTCTTCCAAAAAATTTTTGTAAAAAATGTGGCTACTTTGTGTTTCTGACAAAGCGGAAATTGCATTGCTGCAGCCAAAAATGCATTCAAAAAATGCATTTTTTTGATACGGCTTTTGGAAGATTTAATAACTTTGTAAATAAGAGTCAGAACTGGCCCAAATCGGATACTCGGGGGTTTTCGAGGTCGCTGATCACGATTATGATGTTCAAATTGACCCCCCGAACACCTGGAGCTTAGGAACGCCGATGAACGTCATCTCCGTGGGACTCTCCCATAAATCACGCGGGGAAGGAGAGAAACTCGGCGCCCGGGGTTTTTTGGGTCGCTGCATTCAAATATGCCATCGTCGAACACCCCCCGGACACCTGGTGCGCCTCATCTCCGTGGGTTTTCCTCGCACAATCGAAAAAGACGAACCGAAAATCGTTATGGGGTTTTTTAGGGCGCTTAATCCAAATTTCACGTCGAAAACGATCCACCGAACACCTAGTGCACCGGAACCTGGGCCTGAACGTCGTCTCCGAGGGTTTTTCAGACACGATCGCTAAAGACAAACCGAAAATCGTTATGGGGGTTTTTTGGGGCGCTGAATCCAAATTTCACCCCGAAAAGGTACCTCCGGACTCCTGGTGCACCGGAACCTCGGCCTGAACGTCAACTCCGAGGGTTTTCCTCACACAATCGAAGAAGACGAACCCAAAATCGTTATGGGGCGCTGGATTCTTCGATTCGTTGGAGATGACGTTCAGGCCGAGGTTCCGGTGCGCCAGGTGTCCAGAGGTACGTTTTCGGGGTGAAATTTGGATTCAGCGCCCCAAAAAACACCCATAACGATTTTCGGTTTGTCGTTAGCGATCGTGTCTGGAAAACCCTCGGAGACGACGTTCAGGCTCAGGTTCCGGTGCACTAGGTGTTCGGGGGATCGTTTTCGACGTGAAATTTGGATTTAGCGCCCCAAAAAACCCATATCGATTTTTGGTTCGTCTTTTTCGATTGTGCGAGGAAAACCCACGGATGTGCGGTCCGCGTCCAGATTCCGGTGCACCAGGTTTACAGGGGGTCGTTTTCGACGTGAAATTTGGATTAAACGCCCCAAAAAACGCTCCCACAATGATTTTCGGGTTGTTTTTGTCAATCTTGTCAGGAAAATTCTCGGAGATGACGCCCACGTCCAGGTTCGGGCGCACCAGGTGTCCGGGGGGTGTTCGACGATGGCATATTTGAATTCAGCGACCCAAAAAAAAACCCCGGGCGCCGAGTTTCTCTCCTTCCCCGCGTGATTTGTGGGAGAGTCCCACGGAGATGACGTTCATCGGCGTTCCTGAGCTCCAGGTGTTCGGGAGGTCAATTTGAACATCATAATCATGATCAGCGACCTCGAAAACCCCCGAGTACCCGATTTGAGCCAGTTCTGACTCTTATTTACAAAGTTTTGAAATCTTCCAAAATAAAAGGCGTCTCAAAAAATGCATTTTTTGAATGCAATTTTGGCTGCAGCAATGCAATTTCCGGTTTGTCAGAAACACAATGTAGCCACATTTTTTACAAGAAATTTTTGGAAGAGAATGCAAAAAACCGCATCCCGATATGTCTTTGTGGAAAAAATTCCGAACTTTTGTGCTTCATTGCCTCGCCTAATTGTGAAATCAAATTCTGAGATTATTCTCAAATTATTTATCGATTTACTGGCAAAACCAGTCAATTTTACCCCATTAAACAGTTTTCATTTTGCCTAACAACGACTGTATTGCAACACTGACTGTTTCTACAAGAAATCTTGTCAAAAATGTCAAAATTGTTTCCAACGCTAGACGAAAAATGATTTCGTCCCTTTCTCCCGGTTCCCAGACGTCGTAGAAGACTTAAACACACGACAGTCTTCGAAACAAACGACACGGGAGCTGGATCGCGTCCATCGTGCTACCGAACGCGCTGCCTCGATCGAAGCGCTGCTCCTGCCGCGTTTTCATTTGTCACTCGGCGTGACACGGGGCTGGAAAATGTGTTTTCGCGACCCTATTAAACATCTGACCCATAACTAGGTGAACGTTGCGAAAGAGAGGCTTCCTTCGAAGTCCCCCACGCGCCTATCGATCTGATCGGAGGAGTAAATTTTTTATAGCATCGCCTCATGTAAGTACCGGCGGTTTTAAAGGGCGGTCGTATTTTTATTTGTCTCTATTTTTATCCGGACGCTAGTGATGTCGGTACGATTTGAAATCGAATACGGATGAATAACACATAAACGCGTATATAAAAGGGTAATTGTCAAATGTGCGATGTACAGGGTGCTTTAAATATAGATGTACAACGTTTGACCAGTGATTTATTGACTCAGAATAAATATATTTAGACTCATTTGCTTATAGGCTAATTCGCTTAATTTAGCCGCTAGTGGGCTTCACAATTTAAGACAAATTTTAGTTTTTTTGTTTCAAGATTACTCAAAAACATTGGTTTCAATCATTTTTCGAATGATAATTTCTATTAAACTTAAAGAACCTACAAATGTTTAAAAAAGTAATGGTGTAGGTAACTATCAGGGTCGACGTTCGATCCTACTCGTTGATGGGTCCGCAGAGATCCTGTAGCGAAGTTCGCCTTAGTTTGGACAATTGACCAATTTAGATTTTATCCATATTTGGATTGTAGTAGCCTTGGATTGTAGTAGTGATGAACTTGTGACACTGTAATTTTGTATCGCAGTTTCCCACTTTGAATTTCGCATTTTTTGGAAAAGTTTTCATTTTCTTAAATCTGAAATTGGCGTGATTTTTTCAACTTTGCACCTGTTGCTCTATCTACAGCATCGGCCTCTGGCGGTGTCGCCTACTGCGGTTCTGGTGTTGGGAACTTTTTGAAACATAGGCGAAAATTGTATTTTTCTCTCGCCACCTTTTACTTCTTGTGGAAGATACTTTGAGAAGTCAAATTAGTGGTTATAATTTTAACACTTATTTCTGTACAAATGTTTGAAACATTGAGCATATGAAACTTGGTATTTTCCTAAAAAAATTCCAAATAAAAACATTTGCTTATGCACACGGGTCATTATTTTTATGCGTAAAAACGATTCACCCGAATTTGACCTGAATTTTAGCACCAAATCATAACAAACCACACGAAAGTACCGATTTGAGAACTTGGTAGTAAAACAGGGTTTATTTTGAGAATATTATACGAAACATTTGTGTTTAATATAAAGTTTTCAACGCCGACATTAAATAACCGTTTGAGAATCCCTACACGCAGCGTATTTCCAATACGTAAATAAACCAAGATTACGACGGTTTTCTATCCGTATCAGTGTAAACAAATCGTCGATGTAGGAAAATTTGCGTATGGAAATGAGAAATTATTATTTAAAAGCTAATATAACATCTAATTTTAACTTCGACCACACACATTGCCATGTCCTCTTCGAGTTGTGGATTCGAAAGTATGGCGAATTTTGTTAGTTTATTCTTAGTTTGTTAGTTTATTCTTGACAATACGACAATTTCTTCATGCGTATTTACTACTAACGATTAGTTTTTGTTATAGTTTTTGTACATTTATAAAGATTTCATGTAAAATTACACATTTTCTGTAGTCCACTCGACGTAGGCAACCAGTATTGCACGATTGACACTGCCAACTAAAAATCCCTAAACCTTAGTGGAGTGGTTGAAGAGGTTACAGTTACAGTAAATAAAATAATATTTAAATTGATTAACTTACTGTTAAAATTATTTTTTTTGTTGAAATGAAATTACTGTCTCGAACAAAATGACTGGTTTTGAGACTTGTAATCATTTATAAAGACTCTGCATAAAAACTATTAAAAAGTGTACATAAATTTCCACATTCTTTTCGGATAGTTTTTCGTGCGGTATCTCGGAGAAACACAGTTGTTCCGATCCTTTTCTTTCAAGCACTCGTTTCCTTCTTCCCGGAAAACTGGGCTCCATTTATTTCTTTCCGTCGCAGACTCAATCGAAGACAAACATTTCATTTAAGTTCGCAGAGCACGGTGCGCTGCAAGACGCCCGCTCCCGGCGTCTATTATGCTTTAATGAGGAGACGCTACCTGTAACTCGATAGCCGAACGGCTTTGTTTTCCTTTGAGAATGCAATTTCCGTTTGAGTTTCGTTCCTCGATCCTCTGGCGTACGTAAAACGAGGAGTACGAAACTTGCAACCGTGGAATTGTGCCACTTTGGACGGACGGAGAGCGGTGTCGTTCCAAGTAGTTGTTATTCCTGGAGGAAATCGATGCAGAATTTTTCTCTTGTGCTTATTTAAATGTTTTTACATTTACTTTGCAGAGTATGTACAGAGGATGAACC